ACGCTCCCGCCCCTACTAACGCCCGCCGCCCGCGCCCCCACTAACGCCACCGCCCCCGCCCAAGCCCCCCACTAACGCCCCCCGCGCCCTCTGGCCGGGGAAGTCACACCGGGGAGACACCATTGACCCGTCACGCGCGGTGTACAGTTGTCTTTTGTCATTCAGGCATTTCAAGGTAACTAATGAGTTAAGTGGCGTTTATAAGTGTTTAGTAGATGAGTTATTTTTTATTGAAGAAGGTAACGATATAAGAAGTGTTATGATGGCACCTCCTACCTTGAGGTGCTCCCGGGGCTTAGCGTCCCCGCGGCCCGGTCGTCGACCAGGCCTCCTAGACCTGTGCGGGGGCTTGTGTCTAGTTCACATCCAGGAAGTGTTGCCAGCCTCCCAACCTCTCGTTTGTCACACGCACAAATGTTGAAAATTATAGACATTTCTCTGACACTAAAAAAGTTTAAACGACAATGGTAAACAAATCCACGAGGGCCGTGACGAGGATTCGAACCTGCGTCCGGGAGCATCCCAGACACTGCCTTAATCTTGTGGATTTGTTCATTTGATGCATCACGTTAGTGTGATCTCTGTGTGACAATGGTAACGCTATATCCCCAGGAGGCGTGAGCAAGGCCTGGCCGTAGCCGCGGGACTTGGCACTATACCACATTGTTAGAAAGACGTTAGAAAGTAGTAACTACGTTAGAAAGACATTAGAAGGAACTTTTTCAGTGTTAGAGTACTTAACAGATGGAATGCATTAGGCAGTGATGTGGTGGAGGCTGACTCCATACACAGTTTCAAGTGTAGATATGATAGAGCCCAGTAGGCTCAGGAACCTGTATACCAGTTGATTGACAGTTGAGAGGCGGGGCCAAAGAGCCAGAGCTCAACCCCCGCAAGCACAACTACTCCGGCGCACTGTCACGCCTGGGGTCGATTTCCGCGGCTATGTCTATGTCCGATATTAGGATGAGAAAAAGTACTGGAGCAAGCACAGTACCCTGAGGGACTGAGCTCTTCACGGTTGATGGATCGGATTATATTTTGTTGACTATTACACATTGGGTTCTGTCAGGAAAGTATAGATCCATCTGCCTTTTTTTCCGGTAACTCCTTTTTAACGCATTTTATGTGCAATAACACCATGGTCACATTTGTCGAAGGCTTTTGCGAAATCTGTGTAAATTACATCAGCGTTTTGCTTGTCTTCCACGGCATCTGAGGTCATGAGGTCACGCCAGGGCCTCGGCACTGCTCATGGTTCCCACAAGGATAAGCACTTTAATGGCAGTTCCTGGGTGACTGTTAGGCCCACAGAGACGCCTTGGCCTTCAATTACTGTGACTATCTCCTGACTCCGGTACGCTGCTGACACTCAGTGTACCGCTGAGGCCAGCGGTACACTGCGGAGGCCAGCGGTACACTGCGGAGGCCAGCGGTACACTGCGGAGGCCAGCGGTACACTGCGGAGGCCAGCGGTACACTGCGGAGGCCAGCGGTACACTGCGGAGGCCAGCGGTACACTGCGGAGGCCAGCAATACACTGCGGAGGCCAGCGATACACTGCGGAGGCCAGCGGTACACTGCGGAGGCCAGCGGTACACTGCGGAGGCCAGCGGTACACTGCGGAGGCCAGCGGTACACTGCGGAGGCCAGCGGTACACTGCGGAGGCCAGCGGTACACTGCGGAGGCCAGCGGTACACTGCGGAGGCCAGCGGTACACTGCAGAGGCCAGCGATATTGATGCCGAGTCTCTTTTGTTTTCATTTACCTTGTGTTATGCCTGATGTTGATACTTGGAGTCTTTATTGATGAGCGGCTTTGTTAAGTAAGCCAAGACGTGAATGGTTTTCTTACTGCAGCAAACCCTAACACGAAGTCTTGGACGACTTTATTGATGTTGCTCGCGATGTACTGTGGTATAGAAGAAGGGAAGGGAACTATCAGGGGGTAAAGTGCCAAGTCATCACGACTATATAGCACTGGGAAAGGGATCAGGATAAGGATTTGGGATGGGACGGAGGAAACGAATGGTGCCCCAACCACTTGGACGGTCGGGGATTGAACGCCGACCTGCATGAAGCTAGACCGTCGCTCTACCGTCCAGCCCAAGTGGTTAGGTGGTATAGAAGTGCTTTATGGTCATGCTGGCTTAGTGCTCTCTGCATAATAACCTTACCTCAGTATACACGTAATCAAGAGGTGTATGGTAGACAAGTTTCGTCAACATTGTGCTCCAGCTGAGACAACGAGCTTGTCTGTACTGGCAAAGTTCACCAACATCTATTTGATTTGATTTTATGGACGTATTTATACATTTTGTCTTTTAATATCATCAGTAACTCGCATCAAATTAAGATGGAATTGTTATGGGGCGTGTGTGGGGGGGGGGGGAGGGGGACAAGTACTGGGCGGGGGGGAGAGGGGGTCCTGGGGTCAAGATGTAGGTCAACAACACCAAGCAAGGAGCAAGAGGCTCCTACTCCCCCCCCCTCCCCCTTATCTTCTCACAAAAAAAGACTCGTCAACCTATTCTGTTGTGCAAGAGTCTCGGATAACTCTTATCTCTAAGAGATAGGAGCCAAACCATAGTCTAGATACCATCTCTTAAGTCCTTGGCTCCTAAGTCCTCTATTTCACCATATTCCTTATTCTGGACTTTCTCTGCTGCCTCTCCTCCCCCCCCCCCCCCACTGTGGACGTGATGTTCAAGATAAGGTTTGGCTGCACAAAGGCAGTCTGCCGTGCCAGAGATGGAAGACCCGACTACACCTTTCCCTGTGTATGGGTCACTGTTGACTCTGGCTTGGGATAACGTCGGCCGCCTTCACGTGGGAACTATGGGAAGACGGGGTGTGGGCGTCACCATGCCTATAAAAGAGGAGGAACCCCGATTTCCAAATGGCTAATAAAATTAACAGTCAGAAAGTACAATTCTTGTGATTGAACTGAGCGACGAAGTTGGCGCCGTGGGAGGCTGTTAGGTAGAGATGACAGGTGATACAAGTCATCCAGGTGTCTTAATTGTTGTGAGGAGGTAGCAGGTAATGTCAGCGGTGCTGTCTAGTGATGAGCCGTACTGGACCGCGCTCCAGTACGGCTCCAGTACCTTCCCAGTTGTCGTCACTACACGTCCAGCTGATGCATCTTGGTCTCCGTGAGCGACGCTGGAGACATTACCACAACATCTTAGGGGCCGAGGAGAGGCCCGGGTAAGAGGAGAGAACTGGGAAATTAACAGCATCCAGGACAAGGTTTTCAACGAGCGAAGGGAACCTGCTGGCCCAGGTGTGGACAGGTGCACACCGCCCCCCATCCAGTGGCCAGCGGTGGATAGGTTACACTCACTCAGTTACTCCTACAGTTACCAAACTGGGGATATTTGGCGATGTACAATCTTTTCCGGACGATATGAACATCTTGAGGTTATCTTGAGATGATTTCGGGGCTTTAGTGTCCCCGCAGCCCGGTCCTCGACCAGACCTCCACCCCTAGGAAGCAGCCCGTGACAGCTGACTAACACCCAGGTACCTATTTACTGCTAGGTAACAGGGGCATAGGGTGAAAGAAACTCTGCCCATTGTTTCTCGCCGGCGCCTGGGATCGAACCCGGGACCACAGGATCACAAGTCCAGCGTGCTGTCCGCTCGGCTCCCTCCAACATTAACATAAAAACTCGCTGAAAACTCGATAAGGATTTTGTGGAACATTAGTGAATGATGAGAACGTTGAGGAGAGATAAGACGCTAAAGATAGCGGCGTGATCTTGTGACTGGCGCTTTATCGTCAGGAACATTCATCCGTGCTCGCACCCCTGTCAAGGCAGGTCAGATATCCCAGGTAGAAAGATACACAGAACTGTTACTGCTGGCACAGCATCATCCTTAACGAGCGTGACCGCCTGAGAGAGCACTCAGAATGGGCTTCCTCGAGCAGGGACCAGAGGAGATGACTTGGGATCTATACAAGGATAATACTGGAACATGAGACCACTAATGTGCACAATAAAACACCAGCTTACTGGAGTGACCACTGCCCCAACGTCACAGGTCTACAATGAACTTGTACTACAATGAGCCTATACTACAATGAGCCTATACTACAATGACCCTATACTACAATGAGCCTATACTACAATGAGCCTATACTACAATGAACTTGTACTACAATGAGCCTATACTACAATGAGCCTATACTACAATGACCCTATACTACAATGAGCCTATACTACAATGAGCCTATACTACAATGAACTTGTACTACAATGAGCCTATACTACAATGAGCCTATACTACAATGACCCTATACTACAATGAGCCTATACTACAATGAGCCTATACTACAATGAACTTGTACTACAATGAGCCTATACTACAATGAGCCTATACTACAATGACCCTATACTACAATGAGCCTATACTACAATGAGCCTATACTACAATGAACTTGTACTACAATGAGCCTATACTACAATGAGCCTATACTACAATGACCCTATACTACAATGAGCCTATACTACAATGAGCCTATACTACAATGAACTTGTACTACAATGAGCCTATACTACAATGAACTTGTACTACAATGAGCCTATACTACAATGAACTTGTACTACAATGAGCCTATACTACAATGAGCCTATACTACAATGACCCTATACTACAATGACCCTATACTACAATGACCCTATACTACAATGAACTTGTACTACAATGAACTTGTACTACAATGAGCTTATACTACAGGAGCAGTATAGCACTCGTCATCTCACGATGCAGGGCAGAACAAGTCGTGTAAGTCTAAACGTGGAAAGGAATAGGTCTAAGCATGCTGGCAGGATTCACAAGTCGTCTACCCCCAACAGTGCCAAGTCACACAATTATACCATTTACTCTGTCTATAATTGATAACAAGTTTTACACATTTACAAAAGCAACTAAGTTCTTGTAATGTATCAACTTTGGAAGATTTATTAACTTTGTGATTTTTTTTCTATTGACAGTTATCTGGCATCACCCGAATCTATATGGCCGAGATCAGCTGATGCGAACTTGTGTAAACCAGTGGACCAGCAGGCGAGGTAAGTGTAAACTCAGCAGGGATACACACACACACACCTGGTGTCATGCCAGCACCACCACAGTATTGACCTGAGGAGCCGCTCTGTCTTTCAACGATTTAAAGAGTGAAAATCGTGAGAATAAAATTGTGAGGAGGGAGAGAGAACGTCCGCGAGCAGCGCTTAACGCGAGAAGAGCGCGGGGGGATGACCCAACAGGATAAGGAGAGCGTTCAGAAAATGCGGGTTCACTGATAGGTGTTGAAGGCGGCCATATAAGCCGTGTGGAGGTGAGAGTCAGGCACGGGAGACATCTCCCGTCACGCAGGGTGCAGTCGCACCTCCACAGATCTCCAGTATCAGCTCTTGATACTGGTAATGGCTCAAGAGGGCCACACCACTTACGGGCTATTCATGCCCGCGCCACCTTTTGGTTGGCTTAATCTTCATCAATCTTCAAACACTCGAGTGATCCCACTCTGCCAGCCGCCGTCCGCGGAGATGCAGTCACAAGTGTTTCTCAAAGGTGTGTAGATGTCCACGACTCGGTATGGGAGCACCTTGTTAAGTCATATCAGCGTCACGACGCTCCCTTCAAACGTAACCTCTTCGAGAGTCTCCATGCTGGAATGTGGGTTCGGGTCCGAGGTCAACGATGCTTATTACCCCGAAGTCCAGACATCCCGTGAGGTTAATGTGTAGCTCAGGTGTGGAACACGCAGGTGGATGTAATAAAAGATGGGGGTTGGATGCTGTGAAAGATGGGGGTTGGATGCTGTGAAAGATGGGGGTTGGATGCTGTGAAAGATGGGGGTTGGATGCTGTGAAAGATGGGGGTTGGATGCTGTGAAAGATGGGGGTTGGATGCTGTGAAAGATGGGGGTTGGATGCTGTGAAAGATGGGGGTTGGATGCTGTGAAAGATGGGGGTTGGAAAAGATGGGGGTTGGATGTGTGAAAGATGGGGGTTGGATGTTGTGAAAGATGAGGGTTGGATGTTGTGAAAGATGGGGGTTGGATGTTGTGAAAGATGGGGGTTGGATGTTGTGAAAGATGGGGGTTGGATGCTGTGAAAGATGGGGGTTGGATGTTGTGAAAGATGGGGGTTGGATGTTGTGAAAGATGAGGGTTGGATGTTGTGAAAGATGAGGGTTGGATGTTGTGAAAGATGAAGGTTGGATGTTGTGAAAGATGGGGGTTGGATGTTGTGAAAGATGGGGGTTGGATGTTGTGAAAGATGAGGGTTGGATGTTGTGAAAGATGAAGGTTGGATGTTGTGAAAGATGAGGGTTGGATGCTGTGAAAGATGGGGGTTGAATGTTGTGAAAGATGGGGGTTGGATGTTGTGAAAGATGGGGGTTGGATGTTGTGAAAGATGAGGGTTGGATGTTGTGAAAGATGAGGGTTGGATGTTGTGAAAGATGAGGGTTGGATGTTGTGAAAGATGGGGGTTGGATGTTGTGAAAGATGGGGGTTGGATGTTGTGAAAGATGGGGGTTGGATGCTGTGAAAGATGGGGGTTGGATGTTGTGAAAGATGGGGGTTGGATGTTGTGAAAGATGAGGGTTGGATGTTGTGAAAGATGAGGGTTGGATGTTGTGAAAGATGAGGGTTGGATGTTGTGAAAGATGGGGGTTGGATGTTGTGAAAGATGGGGGTTGGATGTTGTGAAAGATGGGGGTTGGATGTTGTGAAAGATGAAGGTTGGATGTTGTGAAAGATGGGGGTTGGATGTTGTGAAAGATGGGGGTTGGATGTTGTGAAAGATGAGGGTTGGATGTTGTGAAAGATGAAGGTTGGATGTTGTGAAAGATGGGGGTTGGATGTTGTGAAAGATGGGGGTTGGATGTTGTGAAAGATGAAGGTTGGATGTTGTGAAAGATGAGGGTTGGATGTTGTGAAAGATGAAGGTTGGATGTTGTGAAAGATGGGGGTTGGATGTTGTGAAAGATGGGGGTTGGATGTTGTGAAAGATGGGGGTTGGATGTTGTGAAAGATGGGGGTTGGATGTTGTGAAAGATGAAGGTTGGATGTTGTGAAAGATGAGGGTTGGATGTTGTGAAAGATGAAGGTTGGATGTTGTGAAAGATGGGGGTTGGATGTTGTGAAAGATGGGGGTTGGATGTTGTGAAAGATGGGGGTTGGATGTTGTGAAAGATGAGGGTTGGATGCTGTGAAAGATGAAGGTTGGATGTTGTGAAAGATGGGGGTTGGATGTTGTGAAAGATGGGGGTTGGATGCTGTGAAAGATGGAAGGTTGGATGTGATAAAAGCTAGGAATTGATGCAACTAAAGCTGCTACGTTTTGTATCTTGTGTTACTTATTATCAAAGAAAGATATTTGGAAGGAGCAGTGATGCGTGACGGAGTGCAAGGCCCAGCTGGAGTCTGTAAGCCAACAGCAGCAACAGTGTCACTGGCTCCACGCCTCACTGGGTCACGGAGGGATCTTTTCACCCTTACGGTCACGGATTATATCTAAGTGAATCTCAGCAACATAATGATAATAGAATTAGACGTGTTTTAAGACATTTCCGGCTTGTTTTGTCTTGTCCTCCCGACACGTGGAGAGACCTGGTAGCATAACTTGTCAGGTTACCGTGTGTTGTTTGTACACGGTACAGGCGACGGTGATGAGGCACTGTTCTTGCCACGGGTCAAACTGGAGGTGATGATAAGGTGAGGGCGGGTCAGGACCCGGGGAGGGTGGTACAGCACCCAGGGGGCGTCTGTAGCGCTGCCAAGATTGTGAAACACCTTCAGGAGAAGACTTAACAGTTTATTCCCTTTTACAACCCGACCCACGAGTCACGGGCGTCACGGTGAGTACCCGGAGGAGGGTACTCACAGTGTGTGCCCAGAACCTGTGGGTGGGTGCTTGTGCACGCACGCACGCACGCTGGCTGCAAGCACAGAGATCTCGGATAACATGATCACTATACGCAAGATTCTAAGAGGCTCTGACAAATTGAATAGTGTTCCGCATGAACAGGGATTCGACGTTAAGTTCAGCTCACAACTAGATGATCCTTGGTTCGATTCCCAGGTAGTGAGAGACGTTTGGACTCGTTTTTTTGTCAACTAATACCTCTGTTCGCCCAGCAGCACATAGGTACCCAGGAGGTAGTCCACTGCTGAATGCTGGGTATGGCCAGTCGTTGGCAAGGTGAACCCCGACAAATATAACAGTTACCGCTCCCTGACAAGAGGCACCGATCTCTTCCGTTCCTCAACATACACCTCCTGCTCTACACATTACGTCCGTAGAGTGTAGAGCAGGACTGTAGAGCCACTAGAGGCGGGCAGCGGGGGGGGGGGGTCCACTCTGCTAACAACAGAGCTGAAAGCGTGGAATGAAGTGTATGGTGAAGACTGCATTCACAGCTGAGGCTGTGTGTATGGTGGCGACCACAAGGCTCTAGGCCCTCTACGCCAGTTAGGCGCGTGAGTGCACACCTTCGTGGATACCACTTAAGTGTGCACTACCGCTCTAGCGACAGTCCTCGGCTGGTCGTCACCTGGGGCGCCAGGCAGGGTCGGCTGCCGAGGCTTAGCGGCCGCTCGGCACGACCTTCACGCCATAGATGAAGAGATCCGGAACACGTCCAGGTCACCCAGGGCAGTACCAAGCCTCATCCAGGTCACCCAAGGCAGTACCAGGCCTCATCCAGGTCACCCAAGGCAGTACCAAGCCTCATCCAGGTCACCCAAGGCAGTAACACGATACAGGATTGGTTGGGGTCACCACCGCTGACCTCCGTCCTGACAGTAAGCGGGTTGCAATCATTCAACGCCTGGCCGGGGTCACCAACGCCTGGCTGGGGTCACCAACGCCTGGCCGGGGTCACCAACGCCTGGCTGGGGTCACCAACGCCTGGCCGGGGTCACCAACGCCTGGCCGGGGTCACCAACGCCTGGCCGGGGTCACCAACGCCTGGCCGGGGTCACCAACGCCTGGCCGGGGTCACCAACGCCTGGCTGGGGTCACCAACGCCTGGCCGGGATCACCAACGCCTGGCCGGGGTCACCAACGCCTGGCCGGGATCACCAACGCCTGGCCGGGGTCACCAACGCCTGGCCGGGATCACCAACGCCTGGCCGGGGTCACCAACGCCTGGCCGGGATCACCAACGCCTGGCTGGGGTCACCAACGCCTGGCCGGGATCACCAACGCCTGGCTGGGGTCACCAACACCTGGCCGGGGTCACCATGACCTAGCGCTCCAGGTCACAGGGCCAAGCGGGAGTTACATTCTAAATTCAATCTTGGGGAAATTCTTGGCTTATCACGACGGACAACCTTCTCGGTGGGATTGACAAGGCGGACATACGCACACACATACACCCACACAGTTACTCTTTTTGTAATAGGAAGGACCATAGGGAGAATGTTTGCCATGGGAGGGACCAGAGTGAGACGGGGGCAGGTATACACACACACCAGGAACATGATGGAGCAACTGGAAGCATTATGAACGGGGTGAAAACTTAACAAACCAACAGGAAGCAAATATCTAGTAATGAGATTGGAGAGATGAGAATCAATGGTAATAATAAGTGGAGTGCCACAGAGACCAGTGTTACCGTTTCTGACATGTCAATAACATCACTTTAGAATAGGATGGTCCGTGTCAATGTACAGGCATACACGCGCGCGCGTGTATGCCTGTACATGTGTGTATGCACAAGAACCTGTCACAATACCTAAAAATATAATAGTTTGGCATTTTGTTTATTTCTATTGAGGACCATATTTGAGGCTGGCATGAGGCAGGTGGTGAGGTGTCAGTCATCCCGCCTGCCTCTGTAATGCTCCAGGCAGAAACTTTCTATCTCCTGCTATAGCTAGTCTGACCTTTCCATAAGTGCAAAGTTAATGATGGCTATACCATTACCATAAATTATAGTCATAATGCAAGGGGAAATTTAATTTCTAATCACTTGGTCTCATAATTTTCATGTGACCTTGAGGGCATGTGGCAGTTGTTGGCCTTCAAGACTCCTCCTCGTCGTCATCTCCATG